AGATAGATCGATAGATACATCGATAGATAGATCGAGAGATAGGTCGATAGAAAGATCGATAGATAGATAAACAATTAGATAGGCAGGTAGGCAGGTAGGCAGGTAGGCAGGTAGGCAGGTAGGTAGGGAGGGAGGTAGGTAGGTTGGTAAGTAGGTAAGTAGGTAGGTGGATGGACAGATGAACAGATGCATAGATTGATCGATGGACAGCAGACAGATACGTACATACGCATGCGCAGGCGTGGATACAGCAAGCGATATACAGGAACTTTCATAAAGTCATAAAGATGACCAGTGATGTAGCCAAACGTTTCTTACAAGCAAACCTTTTATGTGATTTAGAATATGCAGTAATGTGCGTATGCACGAGTGTGTATGCGCACCTCACAACGGGTGGTATTTTTAACTGTCTGACGATCGAGTGCACAAGCATACGTGTGCAAACGCAGCCTTGGTCCCATTGGTGTTGCATCACAACACATCATCACAACACTCCGCTTGCGGGATTCGAGGTGCATGGTCTCAGGCCAAAGGCACACTGTGAAGCAGCTGAATGTTGCTGCTCCACGGATAGAACCAGCGAACTACTTCTCGTGGACAAGGCTGGTAGGAATCGAACTAGCTGACTGAGTTTCGTCGAAAAACTGAGGAAATGTAATGAAGCTTCTTCTTTGGTCTGCACTGAAGCATACGAAATACGCGACATCAGTGGAAGTACCTTAAACCTTAAACAGTCTGGAATGAATGTAGGCAGTGTCAGTCTATCGGCTCCAAAAAAAGGTGGCCGGAATTCCGCAGCACACCGCATTGCCAAGATTTGCCAAGTGCAGGCAAGCTGCCTGTCGGTGCTCCTCCTGAGTGAAATTGCCCTGGCCGCTTTCCGAACGAGTCTTTCCAAGGGATCTGGGAGGCTAGAATCTCAGCCCTCGCTCTTGGAGAGACTCAGGTCATCATGTACCCCAACTCCAAACCAGACCTATCCGTGCCTAGCAACCTAGTAATGTTGCAATGCGCCGTGCCGTAAATGTGCTGTCACGTGAGCATGAAGTGCCTGATACTTCCACCTGGAGCTGAGGCGTTCGGACGCAGCTGAAGCTGGGAGACAAGTCGACGGGCAGAGTCACTGTCACCTGAAGGAGTGATGTCTCACGAGACGTGTGAAACGTAAAACCCATCAAGACAGGCAGGGCTTTAGGCCGGATGCTGCACTGTGAAGCTTGATGCAGCTTGCTGCAGCTCCGTTGCCGTGGTGATCGTGGCTGATGCCGTCGATGTACGGGTGGTGCTGATGACCGTGGTGGTGCCTCAAAACTCGGCCCGTCCGCGTGGACATCGCTGTGAAGACTCATGCGAGGCGCCGCGTGAACCCCAGGCCGGAGACCCCAGGAAGGGACTCGACCCTCCGACATCTTTTCTAGAGGATCCACGAGCCTGGTTCACACCCCTCGAAAGCGGCAGCATTGTGGCATCACAAGTTTGCAGTCCGAAGAGCTTATGGTGATAGAGGTGCCCGACAGAGTTGTGCTGCTCACGGCATCCGAGGAGTTTGCCTTGAGAAGCTCTGCGAAGTTGGCATTCCGCGGAGGTTTGGACACTTCTTGGGGCTACTGTACTAGACATGATGCCCTGAGCAGGAATGGGGACCTCTTCCTGAGGTTTCGAATCCTGCCAGGTTGGGGGGCACGATAGGCACTGCGTGCAGCCATGCGGCTGAGATGTTCGCGGAGGATTGCGACGAGCTGGTGCTGGAACTTGTCGAAGTGAAGGCCTTTAGGGCTGAGCTCTACAAGGGCCCTAGCGCTTGCAGCTTTGAGTGACCACAGGACGGTCTTCATTCGGATCTAAGGTGATCTAACCAGGGTGCTATTCGCTGTGCTTCGCAGAGAACAGTGTGGCTTTGGCATCCTTGGGCGAATGCATCGAATCTTGACCGAGGCTGCGGCTGTGATGGTGGAGAGGGTGCTTGTCAGAGTCATGGTCGTGGCTGTGGAGGAGGTGCTGGAACCTACAGGTCATCAGTTTTCATCGAAGCCGAGAGGCTGTCGAAATCATCCCCAACTGCTTGCTGACTTGCGGTCCTACCTGACCGGTGGACATGCGACCACCTGAGAAGTCCCTGCTCTGCCTCCTTTGCCGGAATTGGCATTGATATGATAACAAAGTGCTGCCGCCATATTCGAGGCTTTTTAGTCATGATATCCGGTGACATGCGGCCCGCAAAGGTGGTTGTCGTCGCAGAGCTGGTCGTGGTCTCCTGTGAACCGCAGTATCGCAGGAACGCGTTGGAGAAATTGGGAGGGCTGGCAACCGGGGAGGGGGCACCTTTGAGTTTCGGGATGTTACAGTTGGGTTCAGGAAGGCTTCGACGCGAGGGTCACCGACTTACGCTGGTATTCTAGCGATGTTCGCTCGATATATTTGCAACTGCAAGTGTGATCTTTGTCGCCTATATCCTGATCCCCTCTGCGGTTCTGGCCCGGTAACAGTATCCACGACATGGCAACTTCTTAGTGAATGGCACTTGCCCCCAGAACCGAGGAACACACCGAGGTCTCCGTGAGCCTCCATTGAGCCGTTTACCGTGCTTGTGGAGCTGGTGGATGCCGTGGTGCTGCTTGAACGGGTGATCGTAGCCGACCTTGCCCGTCAAGCCCAACTCCAGGGAAGACAGGTCGATCAACAAACATTCTCCGTGCGGTGTACAGCCTCTCTTCTTTCCCCCTCTCTCTCTCTCTCTCTCTCTCTCTATATATATATATATATGTATATGCATATGTATATACGTGTAGCTTTGTACATTCACAAATACATGAATGCATGCTAAATGTATACGTGCGTTTCTGTAAGTGTATCAATGACACGCATATATATATATATATATGTGTGTGTGTGTACATATACATGTACGCTCACATGTATACATGTAAGCGTACCTGTCTGTGTACGTACGTGGGCATGTACGTACGTACGTACGTACGTACGTATGTATGTGTGTGTGTGTGTATGTGTGTATACATAAACGCATGTATGTATGTATAAATGGTTGTATCTTGCGTGTATGTGTACATGTATATACATGTACATGTGTGCATGTACATATGCATGTACGTACGTGTGCGTCCATACGTGCATGCATGCAGGCATTCATGTATGCAGGCGTATATGTGTCAGAGTGCATATGTTCATATGTCTCTATGCACATGTGTAGACATATCATCAGAATGTGCGTACACATATAGATTCGTTTGTTAGTCTGTATATATGTGTAGTATTGATGTCTAGAGTTAAATATACATGAATAAATGCATATGTAGATGTGTATATATACGCACGAACTTATATACATACATATTCTTGTATACATGTATGTACACATGTGCGTATGCATTTATATATATATATATGCACAGCATTATGTACTGCAGTATGCAGTATCACAAGTTTGCCACTGTGGTTGTATCATAAGGTTATCACTGGATACTCATTATCAATGCTGACTCGTTTTAGAACTGATGTATGTATGTATGTATATATATATATATATTCATCTATACAGATGTGTGTATACACATAGTTTAGCATACCATATCACCCTGGAGTCGAAGAAGCTATCACAGTCACACTCAGGCATGCTGGCACATGCTGGCACCATCCTGAGCCGGCTGCCATGACGAGGATGTCGAACTGGTCGAGCTGGACACAGCCTGTTCAACTTTGCTTGAGGGTTGGAGCCCGTCTCGAATTTGGTGTCGACCTCTTCTCCTGTTCATGCATTTAGCCCTAGGTCGAGCCTGCGTCAAGGTTCCAGAGGTGCTGGTGCTGGTGCGGGTGGTGAGTGACCTCAGGGCACCAAGCGGATCTGAGCGTGCAGGGTAACCTCGGTGCGTGGGAAAATGAAACCTGGAAGGTGGGGTCATTGCGAACAAGCACAAATGCACGATGGACCAAGAATGCAGGCCCTTGCTCAGGCAAGGGTGCTCCTTTGCAGCAAACTAGCATGCAGGCACCCACAAGCACCTTGGCTCCAGGCGTGAAAGTTCTAGATGTGCGGGTCCAGGTGGATGTGGTGATGGTCGTAGTGAGAAACTCCTGGAAGTAGCCTTGCGCGTCAGTCGAACATGACATCAATCGGCCCGGCCCGGCATCGCTAGCAAGGTTGGAAGCCAATCTACCCCAGCACCTCCCGAGCTGACTTCCGACTGGGGCTCAACTATAGGAAGCCGTCTCCAACCATCAGCGTCAGAGACCCCCGCACTGCTCTACATCCCAAGTATTCCACTGTGATCCGGTATGATCCGGTAAACTCCCGACCATACGATCTCGCGCAAACCAGTACAGACTGTGTTTCCAAAGCCGTACTCACGGAAGACATCCTCAACATTTGACAGCCTGGCAAAGCTAAAACTATTACAAGAAAAGGCCTCAAACATGAGCATCGTCTAAGACACCGGGTTATACACCGGCAATCGTATTGCATGTCTCTAGAGGATTTCCCGAACAATTATGAAAACCTAGAAGTTGCTGAAACACACATCGTCCAGATCCGACAAGAACCGCACACGTCTACGAAACAGACCACACAAACCACTGAAGGTCAAACCCCTAACCCCTAAGCATGAGTAAACCCGCTTCAGGAAACCATGACCAAAAATACTTTGCCTGGTGCCACGAGGCGTCCGTCCCGGCACCGGAGTGCCGGGGGCACCTGGCCGTAAGTTTCGCTGGCTCACAACTTGTGCAGGTTTTGAAGGAGGCGAAGGTTTCAGGGCTCAGGTGTTCGGGGCTTGGTGCTTTTGCTGGGTTTGCGGTTCAAAGGCTCGCAAATAAGTTTTGCAGTTTTGAGGATTTCTAGTCTGAGGGTGCAGGGCTTGGGTCTTTAATGGAGGCTTCGGGGCTAAATTGCAGAGCGGTCCAATGTCTCGTGTAAATTTTGGATGGAGTGCAAGGCTTCGGGACTGAGGCTTGGGAGTTTCGTGGCGGTGGGCTGGGTTGTCGTTGTTGTTGATCAACGAGGCATGCATCGCTAATTTTCACGGGTCCAGGATCCAGCCCCGAAATTCAGTCCGCGAATTTATCTATATTTTTTTTTGCCCGGGCTTTGCTGTATGACGTGCAAAACGGTGGGCGGCTAAAACTCGCAGGGCCATTTCAAGATTACCTTTCCAGTAAAATTAAGCCATTATCGGGAGAGATCCTCTTTAGTAAATACAAGCAAATTGCAATTAAACGCCATATGCAACAATAATAGTTCAAAACATGTGGTATGGTTAATTAGTTAAACCAAATCATATAAGGAACAATAGAGCTAACAAAAAGCATATAAACAGCAAATAAAAAATAATTCAACAAAGAGGAAGCAATAAAGAAACACAAAATATAAATAAACAAATATATAAAAACACTGGAAAACATAACAAAACACTGGAACTTCAATAAAAACAATAAAAACTCTCCAAAGAAAAACCAAAAAGTAACAAACTAAATACTAGAGAACAAAAACATGAATAAAAATAGAAAATTTACGAAACAAACAACAAACAATAACAAAACCAATGAAACAAAACAAAAAGCAAAACAACAAAACACGCAAAAACTAATCGAATATTAAATACGAAAAATAATCACGAAACAAAAAACACAGTAAAAAAATGAAACATGAAAAATAGAAACAACAAAAACAATAAAAATAAAAATAAGTGAACAAATAAAACCAACGAACAAAAAATAACAAAGTGAAAAAAATCAAAATGAAAAACTAGTTAGACCTACGAAAAACAAAAAGCTTCAAAATAGAAACAATCATCAAAAAGTAAATAGTTGTTGAAAACTTTTAAAAATAAAACAATAATGTATTTCATTTTCTTTGTGGTTTTTTGCATGCTATACTTAGCAAAAACCCATGGATTTCTCCGTACCTAAATTTAGCAAAACCACCTGCGAAAAAAACCGCCCGCAATTGGTTTTGCTACATTTAGATATGGAGTTCCATGGTTTGTTGCTAAAGTATAGCGTGCAAAAACCACCAAAAATTGAATACATGATTCATTTTCTAAAGGTTTTGAACAATGATTGTATTTTTTGGTGATTTTATTTTTCTAAAGTGTGGAAAATTATTCTATTTTTTTGAAAATTTTATTTGTTGTGTTTTACTGTATTTTTGTCGTTGGTCTTTTCTTCCATTTTTTAACTGGTTTCACTGGCTTTGTTTTTTCTTAAGTTTTTCGTTGGTTTTATTTTTTGCGTTGTTGTTGTTTCATTTTCTTGGCGTTTAGTTTTTCGTTATATTTTTGTCATTTTTTCTTATTAGAACGCTACCACTGGGGTATAGTGGGAAAGCCACCCGTGGAACTGTGGAACTGGACACTAAAATGAACAACCATCACGGTGAACAAGTCTTTGCCACTGCTCACAAAACAACTGCGAGTTTCGTTTAGGGCGTTTAGGGTCAGGCGGCTTAGGGTTTAGGGCCTTAGGGTTTTCCGGCACATTCATCTCGGCCATTCGTTTATGGCAATTTTTTGTTGATACATTGTTACATGCGCAGCGCAGTCAATGTCCGTCGGCCCACCCACATTTCTTTGTACTGAGTCTGTACATCACCCCAACACACCGAGCATATAAGCCAATGCCAGCCCGTCCCACGCAGCCCATACACACCACCAGCACGAAACAAGCCAAAACCGACCTTACCAAAACACGATCACAAAATCATCTACCCCCCTCTATCCAAAATAGAATCTTTTTCTGCAGGGAACTTCCTGGACCCGTGAGAATTAGCATCTGTAGGGCCGGCATCGCGCCTGTTTTTGATAACATTAATTTGCCACGTTGCTGAGCCTCGGCTCGGATGTGGTGCTC